GAAATAGCACAGTGCTACACTTCTAAATGAAGTCTAGAGATTTTAAAAAGATTTTCCAGTTGCTAAAAAAAATGGCGCCTTTGAAGTGAGCGTGTCCCCTTGGTAGTTATTCCTCAGCCTCGGGAGAAGTGGAGGAATATCTTAGTAAGGCTTGTCTAAGATGTTCTCACATGCTCTGCAGTTGGTATATTAAAGGGTCATTTTGTGTCCAGTCCGTCCTGTTAAAGCAGAAAATCACCTTCCACTGGGGATGTCTCCATCACTTTGGAGACAGAAATTATATTTTTTCATTTCCATGTCCTAACCATTTAAGAACATGTTCATATGCATTTCATATTAATAATATCCTTTACATTAGGCTGCTCAATACCAGGAAACATTTAACAGGAACCAGAGCTCTTGACATTTAAAATCTGAGGGCTGGAAGAGTTTAACCTTCTGTCATTTCTTGTCCTGTAAGAATCTGCTTGAATTGTGTTGATTCCTTTCTACAACACCATATAGAATTGATAATAAAAAAATGTTTTTGTTATTGTTGGAGCAAACTGTTAAATTAGATAGCAAAATAAACATTTTACAGGTCTTTACTTTTTAGTCCTTAATATGCTACTGAGAGGAATTAATTGTCTTGCACGACCTTAGAAAATATTTCAACTTTAGACATGGCATTAGCAAAACTCTGCAATATAGGACTCTGGTGGATCAAATTGAGCTTTCTGTCTGCTTTTCTTTTTCACCAATGCTCTTAAGGATTTGTTTACTTAAATCCTGTTTTTTTTCCAACGATGACTCAAGCTAAAGTGAAAAAAAAACACTATTACTAACCTTTCTATGCTGTCCTATGCATTTTAGTCTATAGCATGTAAAATTCAGCCACCACATAAGCCAGACAACACTACATGAGTGCCACTGCTCCAAACTGAACAGAAGTTTCATCAAAATCTTGCAGCAATAGCCCAACAATAGCATTATTTTCTGTATTACTAGGCAGTGTTGTTTGCACTAGTTTACTCACCTCAGCCTACAGAATTCTGCCAAAATGAGTTGAAGGAAATACAAGCCTTTACCTACTTTCTGAATAATTCTGCAAATTATTATCTAAAACTCTTTGGTCACTGATATCATGAAATATTCTATCTATATATGCCGACAATGGAGTGGGCCTTGAACACTAGAGCTAGAAACCCAGATGTACTAAGCCTGTCAAGATCCCAAGTGTACGCCACGCAAAGAGGCCCCAGAAAAAATTCAGCATCTCACAGCGTAGTGTAAGATAATAGCAGAAAAAGAATACATGGAATGTCATAACCCAGTGGCTGGTATAGTGTACAAAAACATCTTTCCTACTGGGATCTACTTTCCAAGGTGGTAGAGAACATCAGATACAGACAGACAAAAGTGGCCAACTACTGGACATTGTGATCATTGATAAGAAGCAAAAAAACACCATAGTGATCAATGAGGCCATCCTAAATAATGGACACATCAGGGAAAAAAAAGACAAATGAAACAGGAGAAATATCAAGGCCTCAGGGAATAACCAGAGAGAGCTTGGAAGGTGAAGGCAACGGTGCCTGTGCTCATCGTAGCATTCGAGGCAGTGACTATCACACTTGAGAAGTGGTTCCAACATATAGCTGGAGAAATGTCATAGTGCTTGAAAACCCAACCTGCATAAAATGAAAACCCAACATTCATAATTCCAAGTTGATGGGGTTTGATGTTCCGCGATATCAGCTCAATTATCTGCCATTTATAACTGTGCAATATTTTTTTTTCCGTAAGCCAACATGGGGCATGTTTTTTAAATGTTCCTTTTTCTCACCAGATCCCTGGCATGCATGTTTTTGGACAGTGACTAATTTAAAAATACCAATCAATACATGATAACCCAGTTGTATCATGATACAGTTTTACAAATCAGAACAGTGCGGTAAAAGCTATTTGATTAAAGTGCAGTTAGAAAGAACCTGACCTTATACAGTAGATTATTTATTTATTTTCATGAACGTAGATGAGACAGTCGTCAGTCATTAGTGATGTCACTGAAACTTAAACCAACAATTGCGAGCAGTTACTTTTTAGAGTACTAGGATGGCTAGTTTAATCTTTTCTTAATGTTAATAAATGTAAAAATAAAAACCTTTTTTTTTTATTTAACTGTCTTATAATGATATGAAATCAAAATCTAATGTTTCATCTAAAAACTGAATGAAGAGAAAAAAGCAAAAAAAGAAAAGAAGAAAGATAAAATAGAAGGGTGCAAATCATTTAGCATAACTGTAAAAAGCCATAATGGTATGTTTTACTAGACAGAGTATTCTTTATAAAATGTATTTTTTTTAATAAAGCTCTATGAACATATACAGTCTTCTTATATGGTTTTATGTTATGATCAGTATCTGTAGCTTTCTTTGTGTCTGTATGTAGCTATGTACCATTGTCATGATTTAGAGTTAATTTGATTGTGTTCTTTCTGATTATATAGCATTGATGGTGCCAAATAACTTCTGTTCATATTACTGTTTTTATAATAAGAAAATTCAATACCCCTCCAGACACTTTTTAAAGTGGTTCTCATCACAGATGTGTACTAGGAAACTGTCATGGAAATGCACTTCCTTTTGGCCCTTTTAATAGATCCTAAAGAACCTTTGACAGTTTTATTGGTTTGGCCCTACAGAAATTGTCTTTTCTTTTGTTTTTCTCCCTTGTTACTAAGTTGTATAAATATTTATTTCATGTGAAAAGGCTTAAGAAAAACAACAATGAAGAGATTTCAACCTGGTGAGATGTTTAAATTTTCATGAATTCACCAGTCGTCTGGTTTTTTGGCACTTGTCCAATCTCTAATTGCCATATTGCCTTTTTCAGGGTAGAAGAACATGAAATATGCAGGAAAACAACCTACCACTTGTCCCATTATAACAATGTTGTCAGTTTTCCCCCTGCTATTGTGAGAAAAAAAGAAAGCCAAACTGGCAGCTCCATTCCCGTAACTACTCATCTTGGAATGCCTCGAGCCATTCTTGTGTTTTTACCTCTTGCAGAAACAAAATGTTACCCCATATGCAACTCAGTGGTCCCTACTATTTTTCTTCATTGGCCATAAAAAACAAACAAACAAACAAACAAACAAAAAACTGGATTCAATGTGTAGTTTATGTAGTAGAATTTTTTACATTCTCGATAGTTTTGGTGTTAAATCATTTTGTACAAAATAAACAAGCAAACAAGATATGATGATTTTAGGGTTAAACATCCTAACCTGAACCCAATTTTAATTGTGTTGCAATTCATATTTTAGTTGCAAAAACTTAAATCTTCATGTATTAAAATGAAAAGAATTGTGTATAAGAGCACATTTATGTGTTATACCTCATAAATTTATGTGTACCATTAAGTAATATAGGGTGCTACTTCTTTCTATCCATCTACTTTCCATCACGCTTATGCCTGCTGGGGTCACGAGGGCTGATGGTGCCTATCTCCAGCTGTTAACGGGCGAGAAACTGGGTAAACCCTGGACAGGTCGCCACTCTATCTCAAGGCAACACAGAGGCAAACAGGACAAACAACCATTCACACACATAATCACACCTAAGGAGAATTTAGATGAGTCAATTAACTTGACAGTCACATTTTTGGACAGTGGGAGGAAGCCGGAGTACCCGGAGAGAACACACACACATGCAGAGGGAGAACATGCAAAACTCCATGCAGAAAGATCCCGGGTCTGGAATCAAATGTGAAACCTTCTTGCTGCAAGGCAGCAGTGCTACCCACTGCGCCAATGTGCAGCTCTAGGATGCTACTTTACATTTTGAATTAAAATAAATTTTTATTGCATTTGAAAATATACAAAGAAATAAAATACAGATTTATGAAATAAAATACATTTTCTCTCAGGTATTTATCTCAAATTTTTGTACCTTTTGTACTTTTCCAGTTTTGCTCCTCATGTTCTGGATAATAGTAATTCAGTAGGGACCGTGTTACATTTGTACCTACTTGATATGTATTATTGTTTTCTAAAGATTGTCCACAAGAAGAAAATTTCAATATCTAACATAAACATTTTTATATACAGTACTGGTAGGAGTCATCCATTTAGGTTGATTGTCATTATCAGATATTCTTACACATCAAAACTGAAAATGTTAAATTGGAACTGATGTCATTTGTTTTCTAGACCGCTTGTTTGTTTACAGGAGAAAAACCCAAAGTGATTTTGATCAAAATGGCAACAAATGTATACAAAAAAGGGAGTAGAAAATGGGGATGCAAGTGAAACTCTTTTATATTGTATAAACCATGGTAATAAAACTTGCTGCTGTGTTTTATGCTTGATGCAGAATAACGTTCTTGTTGAGTTTGACCTGACCGTTCCAACACTTATTTTCCTGTCACCACTACTGTGATTTGATTAAAAAAAGCATTCCTCAGTCTGGTCAGGTTTGCATCACACCCACTGATTGACAGGTGATATCACTGTGGGATCAACGGTCGTCCCATTTACAGTTTATTACAAGTTATAGTTCACTTGAAAAAGATACGATGGGAAAGTGAACTTCGCCAAAAAAAAAAAAAAATTAAAAATCTGTGAATAGTCTGGACCAAACAAGCTGACCAAAGGAGTTTACTGTGTAAAAACACCCTGAGAAGGGTTTTGTTTTTTCTAAAGGGGAATAAACGAAAAAAAAAAAATTATTTTAATGACAAATATTTCCAAAGGAAAATTTTTCAGCATTTTTTATATAATTGAAAATTGACACCAAACCAATTCCAGTGCTTAACTAATGGAAAGTTAAACCATTTTTTATCTGTGTGTTTTAATAAAACCTGTCTAGGAACTGCTTTGGTGATAAAACTGTATTAGAAATGTGCTTTTTCACTTACACACCTGATGTTTCCTTCTCTTGGATAATGAAGGATCCAAAGCACTTTATGCTTCATGCGAACACATTGGTTAAACAAGATATTTGCTCTTCTTCCAACAGATGTGATCCACACTGTAGGCCCGGTGGCAAGAGGTCATGTTAGCCAAAAGGAGAGAGACGATCTTACCTCCTGCTATAAAAACTCCCTGGATTTGATGAAGGAGCATAACTTGAGTTCTGTGGTGAGTACAATGTTTCTGATTTTCACCGCATTAAGGGTATAAATCATTCCGAATTCCTTAGGGTTTGAAAGCAACAACAAGCAGTGTTTGAATTTGGAAAAGGTACAACAGCAAAAAGGATTTTGAGCATTTCCTTTTAGATACTGTTCTGAAAAAAGGCCTTATCTTCTTTGCTCAAACAAAAGGAACACATAACAAAGCAGAATGGTAACGTGTTGTCAATGAAGGTTTTTCATGTATAATAGTTTTTCATGGCATTTGGCACATATTCAAATAAATCCTAATCCTTTGTTCAGGCCCATCTATCTTTCAACTGTAATTAGCTGTTTGTTTTTCTCTTTGTTTAGGTAACTTTCAACACTATGCCAATAGATGTTTTTTTTTTTTTTGAAAAAGACATGTATATTAAAAGGAAGATGGTGTAAATAGTATTTTTTTTTTGCTTCCTCTTAGCCCTTCAAATTTATTTTCTTCCCTTTTAAATACAGTAAAATGTTGGTTGAATTATAGGGGATAATGAGAAAATGAGGACAACAATGGTTCTGTCCACAATTAACATCTTCTTGTTCATATTCCCTCTGAAAACCCTTAAACCTTAAAAGCTGATCGAGACATAAGACCAATCAGTATCACACCAAAGAGCTAGAAATCACATTTTGTGTGCCAACCTACTGCCCTGCTGCCTCATCAGAGGCCAATCAGTGGAGGCACTCGCCTACAGAGAAGCATAGATGACTGCCAGTCTCATAAAAAATGACTGTGACAATCCCCTGCTCTGCTGATGACTTATTGTTAGTGACACAGAATCCTTTACAGACTCCTCTTGGTAGCAATTAAATGGCCTGTGAAACCAAATGTGGTACACATGCTGTTTAGAAGGCAGCACTTTTTAACTTAAAGTAGCAGTCAGTATTTTGGCATTTATTTTTTCATATATTTAGATAGAAAAAAATATTGACATTAATATTGATGTCAATGCTTTGTTAGATTAAAATTGCTTTAACTAATAATCTCTGCTTAGACGGACGATCTCTCAGTTTTGTAGGGTTGTCCCCATACAGAAGATGGAAATAAAGAAATAATGCTCTTAGTTAATTACTGTCAATGACAGCCAGAAGCCTCTGTTGACATTAATTTGTGTGGAAAGTGTTGTTTAAGGTGTGCCATACAAAGTTTTTTAAATTTACAACTTTTGTTACTGCCCAGCTGGTTTCCAGAGTGAATGTAGCTGTTCCTTCAACTTATTTATTTATTTTTTCTTAATCTGCTTGGATATGTGAACAACCAGCTTTCTTACGAATGATCTGCTGTATCTTCCTGTGAAGACTGTCTTCTTGTCATATGTCATGTCAGCAGTCTTCTCTGTGATTTTGTAACTGAGTGACCCAGGGTAAAAGACTGTTTAAAGGCTTAGGAAACCTTTTCAAGTGCTTAGAGTTAATGAGCCGATTAACTCTGTTTTGAGTTAATGACCTGGTGTGACACCAGAGTTTCCAATAATGAACTTTTTTACAGTATTCTGATTTCTGACACACTAAGTTTTGGATTTTCTTTACCTTTGGGTCAGACTAATCAAAAATGCAATAAGCTAATACTTAAAAATGCATCACTATAACACAAGCTTTGCTTTCTGAGATGACTGGAGAAACATATTGCACTTTTACACTATTCAAATTTTTTAGATGTTCCTTTATATTTTGTGACTTTTTGATCAAAACATATCTGTACAATTGTTCTTTGAATTTTCTGGATTATAAACTGTTAAAGGAGTACTAATCTTTATTAGGTTGACTTACACATGTTTTTATTTAATAGGAAATTTACCACATGATGCCATTATCTTGGATGAACCCAAGACTTTATTTGGAATGAAGTTCAGTAGTTCTTCACCAAATAGCCTTTTGCACGAAGGATTTTTTTTTCTTTTTTATATCATTTGACCGATGACTTTCTCCTCTGTATCCTCTACATTACGTTTGCAAAATAGAAACTCTTTAGACTCTTTGACGATATCTTTTTTGTTGCTGGTGTTGTCTCAAAGGTAAGCTTTGTAGTGTATATTTTAGAACATTCTAATTTGAATCAGTTATCAGAAAAAAATGCATCAGGTGTCAGGAAAAAAACTTATCAGGTCATTTTTTTCCCCTCCGGGCCTAAATAATTTTGCAAGTAAATCAGATCTTCAGCTAAATGCAAATCAGCATTTGCATTTTTTTGTTGTTGTTTGTTTCCTAGAATCCAATAAAGGAGTAAATCTGACTTATTAACATAAAAACCTGGAAAGATCTACAATAAATGCCAGTTGAAAATACAAAAAAGTATATTTTTTAAGGTGCTGGGATTTAAAAGCAAAGAGATCTTCTAAAGGTAAATGCCACAGCAACAATATCCTAACAGCTTATGTGGTTTAATCCATAAATTACAGCAATACCCTCCTTGTTTCTTGCACCATCCAAGACATTACTTCCTACAGGCCCATGTCCTGATTTATTAATACAGTATTACATCATTTTGAAGAAACTGTGTTCCGGTTTCAATTGGAGCAGCCTGAAGTCTTTTTAATGTATTTATACATACTGAATTCTATTGAGCTGGGCTTTAATAAAAAACAGCAATGTTTTGTGATCCTCGTAGAATAAGACTTATCTTTAAATTCTCTCTCCCTTTTGTTTTTCTTTGCTTTAGGCACAGTAGAGAATAGTGGCCAGAAACAAAGAGTAGTTTTTAATTCATTTTGTTTTGTTTTTTTTATTTTCTCATATAATGCCGCAGTCACATTTAGGTCTACCTTGATATCAAGATTTTTATGGGGGGAGAATTGTAAAGCTGTCTGCTAATTCTTGGCTAACAATCTGGTTGCTTCCTGTTGCGAAGCACAGTACGTTCAATATTCTGTGAGCTGATCAGCCCTAAGCTCATATCGACTAATCCAAAAGTGTCTCGGTTTGATAGAAATAAGCTGCACTCCTGAAGACAGGCACCCTGCTAAGAAGACTATGGGGTGAATAAAATGAAGAAAGGGAGTACAATTGAAAGTCTTATAAGGCTGGCTTCTTAATGAGGATTTCGGGGTTTTAAACAGGAATAGGAGTTGAGACAAAGCCTATCAAAAATACATTTAGGCATTAAAGATTTTTGAAGAAAAAAAAAACTATGCTGGTTAATCTGTTGGAAATCAGAGGCTTGCTTCAGGTAACAAAACTTTACAGCTGCCAGACATGTTTACGTGAATTTCACCAAATCTTTTGACTGGAAAGGTTTTTCTTTATCTTACACAATAGTGTTTTAATGAAAAAGAAATGAACAATAACTGTAGAATTCATGAATTGGTTAACAATGACTTAAGGAATTTTGCTCTTTTTATGTCATGCTGAGTTATTCAAAGAGGGAGAGACACTCGGCATAGCAGAGCTTTTTACAAGGGTAGAAGCATGTGAGGCAACCAGAGCTGAAAGACTTACTTTTAATAATGTGCAGATAGGCATCATGCACAATTGAGGATGCTTTATGCACACTGTGTGTGCTTTGCAAAAGTGTTCTTATCAATTGCATCAAAAAGACCAAAAAACAGAGCAGTTTTGTCAGGGATATATTTAGGCAAAAGTTTAAAAAATGGGTAGTTGATAAACCTAAACTTACAAGGAGAGCAGCAATTAGAGAAGATTTATAATTACAGCAAAAGATTTACTTATTTATATACATGTAAAATATATCTCTTTTAGCGAAAGAAAAACATCATGCCAGTCATGAGGAGATTATCTGATAGTAATGAATTAAATGAATTACTTTGATAGCACCTCTCTGATTATTTGTTTTTAGATGTATCAATAGCAAAGAAATTCTGTTTTTTTAGGAGTGAGAGGATATTTTAGTTTATCTTATTGAAATATGTAGGTTAGTGCAACTGAATTTTTTAAAATGTTTCTGTATGTTTATGTAAATATTGCATCAAAGTCTGAAGCAATATTTAAAAACTGATGTTTACAGATGATAATCCAGATATTATTTAAACCCATTTTCAAAGTGACTTACAGTGTTCAGAAGCTTTGAAATAGATTGTATCTTACTTTTTAGGAAATGTTTTATTTAATTTTTGTGTAGCTTGCTTTTTCTTATTTTTCCCTTTTAAGTTTCCACCTGTTTTGTTGGCTTGATGGATTTTTAAGGGTTTTAGATAAGTACATGTCTATTAGGTTAAATATGTCATATTAATATTTGTATTATCATGCAAATAATTTAGACTCTTGCTCGACACTTCCCCATTGCCAAGTTTGGGTAGGTAAGTATTTCCTCTTTGTGGGAAATTACAATGAGGGCAAGCCAAGATGCCTGCTGTTTAATCCTGGCAGTGAAGCTGTGTGTTGGATGATACAGACTGTGAAGCCCCTTAGCCTTGATACATTTTATACAGTTGTGCAATTGTTTTCTTTTATTCTGGATATAATTAATAATTATAATTTGAAATTATAATTATGAATTTTATTTTTTATTTATAGTTATTAACCTTTAATCAATATGACTAATATTTATATATTAGTCATATTGTTAATTCATAATCATTAACTTATTTACCTTAGGAAGTTTGTATTTAAACTGTTGGGATGAGTTATATTAACCACCAAAGAAAATGAATAACTTTAATATTTAATTCAATTGTAGCTACTAATCACCAATCATTATCCATAAAAGAAAAAATGTCTGTATTCTGGTTAAATCAGAAAGGGAATCTCCTTGCAGGCCACCACACTTTGTCTGGTTGAAATATATGAAACCAATAATTCCCTATTAAAGCAATTATCTCTTTAACTATTCAATTTGAACACACATCTGTTAGAATAAACAATAGAAAAAACAAATCAGTAATCTTGATGAATGTTGAGGTAGCCAAATCTTAATCTTTATCTTAATCTTATTTGGATAATTCTGTGATAGAGAATCAAATCAAATTGGGAAAATCACCATTTCTGAGCTGTGGTGTTAATGTAAGAGCACTTCATAAA